GCCAGCCGCCCGCGCAGGTACGTCGCCGACGTGTAGGCGCGGCCGAGGAGCGGCGCCGCGTCCCCCCGCAGCGGCAGGTCCTGCGCCTCGTAGCGGCTCGTGTTGGTCGCCCCCGGCGGCGCGGCTTGCGCTTCTTGCGCGACGAGCGCGCGGGCCGCGGCCAGCGACGGCTCCGACGGCGTGTCGATGTCTGTGTTTTGCAAATCAGTCAGCTTTCGTCTCGTGGCTCTTTGGGGGGGAGGCGTACACGGGAGGGATTCGTGGAACGCGGGTGCCGCCATGGTGTCTTCTTTCTTGGTAGGGAGGCAAAGGGTGTCGAGGAGATGGAAACTTTTGAGCCTTGCAGCCTTGTGCCGGCAATGCCATCGCACGTAAGCGGGGCACCTACTTAGCCTCGCTGGGCGCATCATCTAATTTCCGTGCGTGCCCCGTACTATGTAGCCTAATGCCTAATACAGCTCTTAAAAGTATATAAAGAATTTTTTATAATATTAAAGAAATTATATTATTAATAATTTATTAGGTAAAACCCTTAAATAAGCGTGAATTATTAAAATCACCTAATTACCGTTATACTCCCTATTCGTTAAAGACCTGGTTTAACTGGTTAATAGCACTTTCTACCTCCCACTATAAGCCCCGCTAAACTAATACACACCGACCAAGTTTAAGCCCCTGCTATTATACCAGGCCAGATCGGTAGTATGTGGCCTAATACCTAATACAGCTCTTAAAAGTATATAAAGAATTTTTTATAATATTAAAGAAACCATATTATTAATAATTTATTAGGCAAAACCCTTGAATAAGCGTGAATTGTTAAAATCACCCGATTTTCGCTATACTCCCTATTCGTCAAAGACCTGGTTTGACTGGTCAACGGCACTTTCTGCCTCCCACTGTAAGCCTCGCTGAACTGATGCACACCGACCAAGTTCAAGCCCCTGCTGTCATACCAGGCCAGATCGGCAGTATGGCGGGCATCCAACGGACTTGAGTGACTGAACTGACTTCCTGGGAGTGTGCGAACCGTGGCACAGAGCGGGGTACTCGCCAATCGCAAGAGCCGTCGTTTTGACCGTGGTGAGTGCAGTCTTGTTACGCGTGGCCTTGCGTCCGTTGTTGTTTCCCTTGGCTTGAGGTAGATCCGGGTCTGGGGATGATGGGACGCTGAACTGGCGATGATGAAAGTCGGTGCTGCCTTAACTTGATGGTGTACACGTGTGATTGCCTCATCCATGGACAGCATGACAAAGAGTGAGGTCTGCGAGCATCTGGCAGCTGTGGTGTCACATTTCATAAAAGATCACGGCATTGGAACAACTTCACTTCAACACAGTATTAATAATATACAGGGCGAAATCTGTAGTCATTCTCAGAATTCTGGCCAGCGTCATTAGACGTCATATGATAGATAATACAATGCATCCTTCGCCCACCGGGCAGATGTCAAGAGCAGCAGTCTGGCTGCTCGTCAAGGTCCCAAATAGCCACAAGAAGAGGGGTCTCCCTTTGTCAAACTCCGTTCCTGTTACATCCTCCATCCTCCAAACTCCAGTTTCCGGTTTCCTATGTAAAAAGCAAATGTTTCGTATAATACTATGGTTCCATTTCATTTCGTGGCGTTGAAAAAGCGACTTTGCAAAAAGTGTTTCGGGCACCCCAATTCGTTAAATAGCACGTGATGACTACCTTGGGCCTGGCTGGCCGGCATGAGACGTACTCATTTAAGAGGCGGACCGGCCGCTCTCAGATGAGTCAGTCTTTGACACATCGTCCTCTTCACTGACGGGTCCGTGGACAGACTCTTCGAAGACGGGCTCCGTGTCAATCACTTCAAATTTGGTCTTGAAGTCGTTGAGGTGGTGAGAGGCGGAGCTGCTGTTGGAGCGACGACGAGCGTTGTTAAAGGAGAAGTCTTGATCCACTACATCGTCAGCAAAATTGCCCCTGTAGTTGAGTTGTATGTTAGCCAGGTTGCCCAAGACATGACCAGATAAAGACATGAGTGAACGTACCAGTTGCCTCTGCCGCCGCCGTTCTTCTTGACCTTCTTGGGGTCAGCATCGGAGAAGCTAGCCTTGCCGGTGTAGCGTGGCAAATTGTCTAGGATAACTGCGGTGCCTTCCGCAAGGCCCTTGTGGTCACGGTCGTTGGCCTTGTGGGAGCGAGTCACTGCCGCGAATTCGTTAGTGCTTTGTCTTAACTTCAGGGGCCTTTTCGTCGTATATGGGCTATGGTCGAGGTGCTCAACATATGCAGATGATGTAGGTGATACCAGGACCGTGTTTGCGCTATAGATTCGCGTGATGAGAGGTACTCACTCTTGGTGATTGGTGTTAAAGTCAACAGTGTCGACGTGTGGTAAGGTCAAGCAGTGGATATCTGCTTAGTGAAATAGATCAAGAGGAGGTCCTGATGAGAGAGGGAATCGTTGACAAAGATGTGATGATCTGATGAAAGGTGCTGAGAGGCAAGGAGAGGAGAGGGATGTCAAACGGATTTAAATAGCCGTCAAGAGTTGTTCGAGTGATGGAGTGTCACAAGCGTAGAGACGTTCAAAGTGGGTTCGCTTTGATGAAAATTGATATGGGATGATGGGAATGGTACAAAGTAGATAGATTAAAGAGGTGAAGGAGCTCCTGGGAATGGGAGAGGCGAGGGAAGCTGTACTATTATATCACAAAGTCACGCGAGTGCAGGTGGGGACCAATCAGTGTTCATGGGGAGTCATGAAAGAGACGGCGGCAGAAGAGCAGTTGTGCCAGTCAACGTCAACAGCCAAGTACGAGTGTGCAGAGAGTGTATGGAGAGTGTACATTCCCACGTCAGTACGGGGGTCAATCGATACTCCTTACACACCTGGAGGGTGGATGCAAGGCCCATTTTGGTTGGGGCGATGCAGTTGCCAGGGATGGTGGTGCGGTTATTCCTGCCATGATGCCATTGTCCAGTTCGGTCCATGTCCATTGCGCCAAAGTATGTACCTACAACAGAGACGCTGGCGCTGGCACTGGCACGGTAAAGCTATTGTAACTGAACCGACAACGGTCACGGGCCAAGTCGCACGCGGGGCCTTGTGCTCCAATGTTTGCATGTACGGAGTACGGAGTAGCCTTCTCCTTTTTGCGACGAGGAAGCGCATTCGTGCCTGCCTTCCACGGTGAGGACCCAGCCAAGGTCAATGTGAACGGTGACGGACAAGAAGACAACTCTCTCTGCCGTGGTCGGCTGTCCGGGGTTAGGAGCCAAGAGACAAAGGAGAGAGAAGCGGGGCACTTCAGCATGTCCACTAAGCTGCAACGGAGCAGGCCATCGCGTGACCAGACGCCAGCTGGGTGCCAGCTGGGCCAGCTGGAGCTCCCGGGTTCGACATGGTCAACTCAGAACTGGTCCCTCGTCCCTGTCCCATCCGTTGCTGACGGGCTCAGTGGCACGTCACCAGGGGAAGCTTGCCATTGCCTCAATGCTCAGTGCTCAACTGCTCAATTGTCCAATTGCCTACTCACAGGGTATCACCATCAATTGGGTCACGTTGCGTCGACGGGACATGCAGCTCTGTTTGCGGCAGCACCTCAATCAAGCCTCCCCCTGCATGCAAACGCACGCCATCACGGCGGCATCTCACTTCGGACCTCCTCTGCTTGCACCAAATCGTCTTGTACGAACACGTACACGGTACAGAAGGCAAGCGAAACGACAAGAAACACCCACTGCTCCGTACGCTGTCGGGTCCGCCGGGTCCTCCGGGGTGACAATTGAACGGTTGAGACGACCCTGGAGCTCTGGGGCCACACAAAACATCAAACTATTTCCGACGCTTCGTGTAGCCGGTACTCGGCATATCCACCTGGCGCATGCTTGATTGCGGGGTAATAAAAAGTATGGGGTACGCAAGCGTCGACCGACGGACTGATCGACATCGACCGTGTTGCCTTGCCTCTTGGTCACTGCGGCCTCTCTACAGGGCTCGAGCTATGTGAATTACTGCCTCCCATCGCGCCTCACGCCATGTACTCTGGTGTCTGGTCCTCCCAGTTGTTCATCCGCGCTCATCTTGCCCAAGTTGGCTGCCAAATTTCCCAGGCAACCACCTAGGTAGGTACCATGTTGTTATCTGGCTTGGTACCTAGATAGTTCGTCTAGCCACTCAAAGCGCCCAAGTGCCTTTGGTGGCGCTCAACTTGGCGCTAAGCCGGAGTTCGGATAAGCATTCCAGCGCATGTTGTGCATTTGCCCTCTTTTCGTGGTGGTGTCCCCAGTCAAGGTATCCGAGGTGCTACGTCCATCGTCTTGTTCGCGTCCGATTTAGAAGGGGGCAATTCGCCAGAGTGCGGGCTGCGAGTCGCAGCAACCTACCACCACTGTCGGGCTTGCCCTCCAAGCCATTCGCCATCGTATCGCCATCATGGCGTGGAGCGGCGGAGCCGGGACACCTTGACACGCCAAGCAGCCCGGCGGACTGGAACACGTTCAAGACACCCTCCGTCTACCGGGGAGACAGCCTGGCAACATGTGCAAAACTCGGTGCAAACAACGGAGCATTCTCCACGACATCGGACCTTTCGAACCCCTAATGAATTGAGTTGTGCGTCAACGAAGCCATATCCGTCTAGAAACCCCCTGTGTCCGATGTCGCCAGCGTCGATGCATCTCGACTCGGGAAGAGGCCCATTCGTGGCCTGGAGCCTCGAGTTCTTGTCGTTGATCCGCAACAGAGCCTCGTGACTTGCCGCACTCCATAGCTGACTGCATCCCGAGTCAATTATCGCAGTGCTGGAGGAGGACAAAGGGTCTTCAGCGAGCGGTGACTCACCGATGTTCCTGGGCCTGGCCGTCTCTGGCACAATATCGTCGACCCATGGCGAGCTTTTGGACCCCTGGATGACATGACAGTGCCTGGAGCTGCCCTTGGATCCACCCAAGCTTGTCCGAGACCCACAGCCTGGGGTCCCTGCAACCCAGCTTGCCAGCTTCTGTCAGGTTGGGACATCCGAGGCGGACCACATGATCACTTCGCTCGGGCCAGGACCCGCGAGCCAAACGACGTCAGAGCTCCGCCGAATCATCGGCGCCGCAGAAGCATCTAGCAACCCGTGCAAAACGAGGCCGGTGCGAGAGCCCGTGATGATGAACAAACCGGCCCGCATGATGTTTTTGACACGTATTCTTTTCATTTCGACTCCAGCTGTCACCCAACATGTCCCTTCAAATGGCCATCGTGTCTTTCCGAAACGTCATCCAAGACCGCGGTATCTAACGGTGCCCCTGTTTGCATCTCCACCGGGTCAGTAACCTCACACGTAAAACCGATCATCCGTCCGTCACCGTCGATCCGCCATTCCAATATCGCAATGCAACCGGATCTCGCCGCAAGATGCAATTGTTCGCAACAAAAAAAGCTGGTCCTTGGCTCTTCCCCCCCGACATTAACCCGCGTGGTTTAACAGCAATATATTTCCCTACTAACCACGCACGTCATTTCCAGATTCGCAGATTGCCGGTCACGCAAGAAAGTATAAACCAGAGCGAATATTACTGAAAGACTAGCCCGAACACCATCCAAATACATCCAATACCCGTTTGCGGCCAACTTTTACAACAAGTCACCCCATTTATACATGCCAGACATCCTTCATCCCACCCCGGACTAGTAGCCAATGCTTCTCTGTACGCAAAAAAGCATGCGCATCCCGCGTAAAACCTCACGATGAAATAGGCAGCGGTGTCAATAGCGTCCCTTTATATCCCGCCTAGTGCACCGACACACCTCGTGGTACAGCCACTTTGCCCCAGGGAAGCTGCGAAACCGCCAAAGTCCCGTGAAAATTGGGTCCAAATCCATCAGGCGGCAGTGCTCCTATTCATATTCACGAGCTTACAAGAGCATCTTCACCCATGATCAAGCGCAGATAGATAGGAACGTGTCGTACAGGAATTCGCTGCGCAGAGATGTGCAACCAGTAGACTGAGCTTGGGCATCAGTAATGCTTGCCACCTTTATACGGCGGCGTAACGCCATCAAAGTCGCGTAACAAGGGCACTCATGCCGCGTATAACAACCATGGAACATGGGCGGGTGCACCCGATGCCAGTCAGCCATACTTGGCATCTAGATGAAATGCCAGCCGTCCATGCAAACATCTAGTCCCCAAACCTAAATCTCCCACGACAATATGTTGCAACATACCAAGTAGACTCTCAATCGTGCTCCAAAAGCCCGCAGTCATGACGCACACGTAATGGCAGTACAGCAATCCCACAAGCCAAATACAAACATGCTACTCTCACGCACGGACAAGGCCTCATCTTCTCTCATGTCAGGATCTATTCCTTCGCTATTCCGCTCCGCCCAGACAAACCACGGTATGGCGGCTACGATGAAACATGGCACCAAGTTATACAGTATTACAAGCGAGATTCCTCATCCCCATCCCATGTCCCGGGGCCTCGCAGAGGAGCCCTACACCCGTCAGCCACGACCTGAAAAAGACGTCCGACGCATCACCTGTTTCCCATGGTTGAAAACTCATTTTGGTATCGTAGTTTGAAGCCGTTGCACAGCGCACGCATATCCGGGTACTGGTACCCTTTCAATTCGTACCCCTGTGGAATCGCGCGAACAGGAAGGCCAATGACCCTCGCTGTGCGACTGGCCTTGAAGCACAGCCAAAAGTATCCCGGATGCTTCTGGTCAATGCAGAAGGCGTACGCGGACCGGTTGGGGTTGGCGTCGATATATGTAGTCAGCCATTTCTCTGTTGGCGTTGGTCAGTCAATTTGCCTCTTTTTTTTTTTTCAACTTGGTGGTGGTCGGTATTTGATTCGAAATGTACTTACCCGTCTCCGATCGCGACCTGCTCTGGTACTTGTCGTGGCGCATGAGCTCCTCTACCTTTCGAGCCATGGCTTTGACGTGGTCGACAATCAACTCGTCCAGATCGCTGTACGTGTACTTGCCTCCGATGCGGAGGAGCTTGCCGACGGAGAACTCGGTGTCCTTTTGCATCTCCAGCACGTCAATGTGCTGGTAGACGTTGTCCGCCACCTTCCAGGTAATAGCCAAGTGGTCGTTGCCCTTGGACGAGGGACGAATAATCACCTCGCCGGGAGGCTGTGAGCCAAGGTATTCCTCTGCTTGTATTGAGTTGAAGGGCTTGAAGTTGGGGTGCTTGACCACGCGCTGTGTCCTTCCAGTGGACTGATCCTTTTCGCGAAGCTCCTCCTTGTCCGATGCTTCCAGGTTGTAGTCCCAGCCGTCACGGCCATAATTGATGGGCCGCTTGAACGGCACGCGCAACGCATCTTCTCGCATGGACAGCTTCGCCATGAAGTCTTTGTAGTTCAGCTCGAGGATCTTGGCTTGAGCAGTCTGGCCCGTGCTCAGGACCTCCTTGACCGAAGCGCGACTCGTCACTTCATGTGCTTCAACCCGGCCCTCAATGCCGCAGTCGAGCTTGACAATGGCAAAGTCGTCCCTCACCATGCGGACATTGACAGGCACAATCATTCCCTCGCACAGCGATGACTTTGTCTCGCCGGTAAACATGGTGAAAATCTCGGACTGGCTCAGAGGGGCAAAGCTGCGTCGCAGTTCTTCATACGGGGCCTGAAGTTCTGCGCTAATGGCCTCGAGCGTCGCCCGCTTTCGTTGGTTGAAGTTGGTCAGCAGCTGATCAGCGTACTCATCCAGGACAAGCTCGTTGACTCGTTCTTGCTCATCTTGTTTGAACAGTTTCCGAACAATTGCGCCGGGTCCATTTTCGTCCGTTTCGGCCTTGACATCTTCCTCATCCAACTCCAAGGCGTCTGCAGCCATCTTGCGACCAAGTTCATAATCCTCAGGATGAACTCGCGTGTTGTCCAGGGGATCAGTTATCTCGTTGGTTGAATCGAATTCGATATATAGGAAGCTGGCACAGTTGTTCCAGACACGAGGTCCAACAACGGGCAACTTGCCGCTGTCGGGGTCACCAACCAGCTCATCTCGTGTGTTTACAAAACCTCCATTGGCATTAATCGCCTTGATGACGCTAGTAGCCTTTCGGGGACCCAAACCTGCAATATAAGGCAGTAGATTTGCCGTGTATGGGTCGGTCATCGCATCGTTAATGTTGACACCGACCATGTTGACCGTATCAACCATGGCGGAGTCAAGGTATTTTGCTAGCTTATCCTGCGGTAGGAGATGCTGGCAAGGGTGGAATGAAAGCGATGATACATCCTTGCCAAGAGCGGCATACTCTTTCATCGGATTCTGCATGTATCGCGCCAAGCCAACGCAGTATCTCGTCACTGGGTTCAGAGACGGATGCTCAGCCACGGCACGCGGGCTGTCCTTGTACAGTCGGGCCACCTCGTCGTCCACGACGACCACCTCGAGAGGCTCTGTTCTATAGTCATTGGTCTCGGGGTCATCGAACTCGGCTCCTCGGAGGTCCTTGTCGCTCACAAGAGCTTCTACATCTCGAACCAGTTTGCTTGTTTCAGCACTCCAACCACTGACGGCAATAACATCTGGACGGCGCCGCCGAACCAGCGCGGCAAACTCCTCCCGCTGAGCCTCGTCTCGCGCCAGGTTACCAAACTTGCCCTGCTCGAGAACTCGGCCGTCTTCTTCCACCCATGTCCAGCATGTTGGCTCACGGGCTGGGTCACCCATCCCATTGGACAAAGCAAGGACTCGAGGTGTGGTTCCGAGAATCATTCCCTTTGGCTTATATGGAGCCTGATCCAGCTTTCGGTAAAACTCCTGACGACACATCTTGAGCACTTCATCCTGGCAGAAAGTACGAATAACTTCTTTGACATTCTTTACTATGACCTTCTCCAACTTGGGGTAAGCCATGTCGAGAACTTTTTTTCGCTCCTCTCGCCATTGCTCGGCACGGTCACTGAAGTTCTCAGACTCGAATTCTTGATACAGTTGTCGCCGGAAGTCGTATCGTGGTGGCATGTCGACTTTGATATCAACTAGGCCCTCTTCTTCTGCTCGCATCATCTTGAGGAAGAGCTCCGGTCGGTGCACCAGGTCAGCAATTGCCTGGTTCTGGAGGTATTTTATCTCATAATATGGGTGCGATTCATCAATCTTCCGAAGGCCCTTATCCGTACGTCGACAGCTGAGCTCGGCAGCCTGATAGTAAGAGCTCCTGAAGTACTTGCGCATGCGAGGGCTGGCGAAGAGCTCCTCCGAGTACATTTGACGCGCTGCAGAAATAACCTGGTCGCCTGTGCTGAAGTTGTCGTCAATTAAGCTATCAGCAAGATCCATGGGGTACTGCGAGTCATCATCGGGTGTGATCTTTTTCCCTTGCCGCAGCGCATTCTTGGCCAGTTGATCGGCAGAGACACCGTAAGCTTTCACGAAATAGTACGCCTTGCCGTTCCGAACTCGGTCAAGTAGAGATGACTTTGAACCAGGCCGCTTCGATTGAGAGTGGTTACCGGCCATGACTGCAAGATCTCTGAGCTTGGCACCATATTGAAATTGGAGATAATCTTGGAGGTCTTGGAGTTCCTCCATAGTTGTAGCCTCTGGAATCATTTCCTCAACCATCAGATCCTCGACGTCAAGGGATTTCAGGTTCCCATATGTCTTTTCCAGGGAGTTCCTCTTGTCAACAAATGATCTAAACTTGATGTCCAATTCCAGAATTCTCCAGAGATCGTCCTGGTTAAGGAGCTTATCGGATTGAATAGTGTAATCCGGACCATCCAGATCATCACGGGCTGACTTTCGAATCTTTTTGGAATGCAGAAGATAGTCTTTTCTATGCTGAAAGACATAGGGAACTTCGACTTCGTCAACGATGAAGAATTCAAGGACTTTACCGACAGCTTTAGCAAAGGGCGTCTGGAGCTCCTGGGTCAGACCCTTCTTCGGCCACAGCTGGTTCGTGATCCATTTAGCTTCCTCTTTAAATTGTTCCGCGGTGAGCTGAAGGTTCTTGAATGCCTTGCGCTCCAGTTGAAATCGCTCGGGCTCGTCGGTGAATCGAATTTCATTGTCTTCGTCGGTAAGGAGCTTCTCCTTGAGTTGTGATGGTTCGAAAACATCTTTAAGCTCAATACCCTGCTCTTGCTTCTCCCGGTCCTCTTCGTCATCTTCTAGTTGCAGTGCCCAGTCGTAGTCTTCGCCGTTGCCAAATATGGCTTCCATGTCATCCAAGGCATCCTTGTCAAGCCCTGTAGTATCAACAACAGCCCCTACGCCGCGGTCCCGAGGTCGCGCAACTTCTAAATCTTCAAGTCGGCGCGTTCGCTCGTCTTCATCTTCGGGGAAATCTTCCTCGATGAAGTCGTCGAACTCATCGGCCTGGGCACGCAGATTTGACCGCCCATATGGCCTTTGTTCTGTCGCATCTTCGTCTTCATCGGAGAAGATTTCGTCCAGGCCACGGCGCTCGTTGGGAACATCGTCTTCGTCGCGATGGCCTCGTTTGAGTCGTTTGAATTTGGACTAAATGCACGTCAGCATCTGTCTTGGGTCGTGCTGCACGATCTCCCCGTGCACGTTCAGGCCATACCTTGCTTTCTGGTTTGGGGCGTTCCCCAAATTGCTCACCAATCAGCTCTAAATCGTCTTCATCAAGGCGTTCTTCCTCTTCACGATCTCGATGTTCGCGCTTTCTCTTCACGGGGCGTGGTTCTGCATCTGAGTCGACCTCTTCCTCTTCCTCCTCTTCTTCATCGACAATGAAGCCCTCTCGAATCTGTGCAGATGTTCTCGTTAGCATACAGTGATACACACCGCGCCAGAAATACTCGCCTTCCGAGCTTCCTCCTCGTCGTCATCATCGTCCTCTTCTTCACTGGAGTCATCAATATGAGCGCCATTTCGCCTGACACGGTCCTCCCCAGTCTCTTCATCGTAGGATCCGTCATCTTCCTCATCATCCAACTCGGCCTCCCCCGAAATCAAGTCGCGCATGCTGTTGCTCATTGTAGCTATTGAGTTGTCGTCTCACGGGGCAACTCGTCGTCCCGTCCAGTGCCGGCGATCGAAGGCTACGGATAATATGAGCCAAGGGAGCCACCAAGACTGAGACAGCCAGCCGCAAACCCGAGGATGAATATAATGGCTCGGCCGCCCGGGAGCTTGTCGAAGAAGCGGGAATGGCTGCGCTGCGTTTTCTTGGGCCGGGGATTTTTTGGAGTCGCATCAAAGCGATGGACCTCAGCGCGTGGTGGCAGGGATGCATGGAATTACACATGTTCCGAAGCCTCGCGTGCTTATGTAATACGGTTCCCCGTCCTCGTTTGCTCGTGTCTGTCTGCGGTCCTTCAACCTCGACAACAACAGAGAAGTGCAGCTTTTCTCCTGTCATTATATTATAGTAATTTAAATTTCGGAAACCCGAGCAACGCAGGCCTCCTGTTCGTAAAGTAGCCTCCTGTTTTTGTTCCTTTACTGGCGCTAGTCCGTAGCATTCAGAAGACAAAGCATGTTCGTCGCATCTAAAGGGGATAAATCAGCGGGGATGAAATTCTCTCGTCTTGCGCTGCAAAATATTGGTGCAATCTGAATGAACTCCTTCTACACCAAGCACATTGAATCATTGAGCTGGATTAACAATCCTTGATCCTATGGCTCAAGTAACCAGAATCCGAAAGCAATTGTTGGCATTGGACGAAAATTCAACCATGGCAAAAAGAAATGAGCATGGACAATTCTGCAGTGTTTTCTCCAGGCGCAAAGCCGAAATTTATTCTCGTCCTATTTACTTGGACTCGAACCCGTGATACTACTTCTTTTTAGTTGACGTGTGCCTCTCTAGGGTAGCTTATCCATTCTCCATCACACGTCGTGACCCGTACGATAAGAGATGACTCGGTCACCTAGGTTCAGACACCAGAGTGACTCTGATTCGACTTCAATCAGCTGCGACCTAAGCAACTAAATGACTACATGCAGCAGTTTGAATGCAATGTGAAGGTTGAGCCGAAGCTGGCGACATGATGAGTGGGTTAGCCAATCCAGTCAATCTTGAGAGGGTACTGCTCAGCAGTCAAAAAGAGCAACATGATCTTCTTTATAGATATATAAATTTGACCATCTCTCACATGATCACAGAGCCTCGTCTTTAAAATATGAAAAACACCGGCCAATCGTTGTCTTGAAATGACAGAACCGCGCGGAACGTTTCATGTCCACGCCGAGGCGGCAACCTACAATGTCACAATCGCAGACTACCTGCAAAATAACCCAACCATCCAGAATGTGTGCGTGGGAGCAGTGATACGCAGCGGCAACCAGGTGCTTCTCACGTGCCGAACATGACTTTGCAGGGCTCATGTGGGAAGTTCCAGGTGGTGCATGCGAAAGCAACAAGGACAAGACCATCTTGCACTCGGTGGAAGGGGAAGTCTGGGAAGAAACTGGTCTGCACGTGCGCAGGGTTCGGCGACTAGTAGACCATCAAGAGTTCCAAGATATAGCGGGGACAATAAAGGGCAGATATATATGGCGCAAGCTGACGTTTGGAGTGGATGTGGAAGAAGGGTATAGCTTAGATGGTCCGCAGATGCGCAAAGCCATTGATGAGGCCATCAGGATGGACCTCAAAGAGCACTGTGACTGGGGATGGGCAACGGAAGAGAATATTGAGAGGGGCGAGTAGCATAAGGGCAAGATGGAACTCTATGGCGTTGCGACTTTGCGCGAGAAGTTGAGATTGCGTAAGGCGCTGTCTTGGCGTTCTTTCTTGTCGATGCCCCTTGCGTTGTAATGCGGCAATGCCCACCACTACCATGTGCCTTGTTCTTTGGTCGTTCTCTGGTGATATGCCCCCATTATATCTTGATAGAGCATGACCATATGATAGGCTCAAGATGCGAGTAACAAAGTATTTTGCGCATCACGAACTTATCAGATACGATGACGTAGCGGGGTTGTCTTAGCAAGGGGACGGCACATACCAGGACCAACCAGGAGCAGCCAAGGACTCATCTTCCTCATTTATTGCTCGTCCATCTCCCAAATACGACAGCAACACAGCTAATGGGCACGGCAAATTACCCGCTGACCTGTCAGGCCATTCAATAGCCCGACCAAGCAGGTGTAGCACACAACGCCTGTCCGCAGACATTGAAGATCCAATTGCCAAACGACCATGCCGAGTGGCTTAAACGCCGGGCACCAACGCCACGCGGCCACATCAAGTCAATGACAGGCAGGGGCTGGTCGGCGAGGCTGTTGGCCCCCAATCTCGTCCGAAGATGCGACCGCTTCTGCAGCCCGCGATTGACTTTTTTGATAAGCGCGCGGACAGACGCATGCAAGACAGTCGCATTTGCCAACAAGCCTTGGGGGCATGGCTGCTTGATGTTGCTCAAACGAAACGCTGGGATCCAAGGCTGCAAGGGGATAAAGACTTGATGATGTCGCACGTGTCGGGTGACGGGCGATCTTGGGACACAGGCATCAAAGATTGTCGCCGTTCCTTTGGTCCCGTTCAGTCCGGTTCGGCGGATATTCGTTTCGGTCCTTTGATGCGTGACGTTGTTTTTGGTGCTGAACAGGCCGGATTGGACCACGTCTGAAACGCAGAGACAAATGCGGCCGGGCCGGTGGTGGTGGTGCCTGGCTAACAAGCACGGCATGCGTGATAGATTATCATGCAACTACTTGATACAATGCGACCAGGATGGGGGTCGGGTACCAACCAGACCAACTGGCAGCCGGTTCAATGTCGTGGTGGATGAAAGGATGAAAGGATGAAAGACGGTAAAGACGATGCCACTTTGGGCACCATTCTGGATTCCGAACCTTGAATCGACGGTCTTCTTTCGCGAGGGCTTAAGTTGGGTCCTTGTGCCGCCTTTTGAGCTCGACAATCGAGCGCTATTTTCGTGTGCTGGTGTGTCCGTCGTGTATTGTCATCGGTAGTATGGAGTAACTTCGGCAGTGCCTCGTAGAAATTACCCCGACTCTCTCACTCTCTCACACACGGCATGCTCATGCTCATGCTCATGCTCGCCGTCACCGTCGCACCTGCCCTTCGGGGCCCTCCAGCTCACAAATCACAAATGGGAAACCACGGGGAACCCCACCTCGCCTTGTGCTTGCCGTCTGATCTGGTCCGTTGGATTGCACTTGCGCAGCACTTGCGCTGGACTTGCGCTGGACTTGCAGGAGGAGCAAAGGAGCAAAGGAGCCCCGAGCGCATCAGAACCAAACCACTACCAGACATCAATCAGGATGGCATCACAGTCCCACCGCCCAGCCAAAATCACTCCGTGCCGCAAGAGTTCATGGCCATCAGATGTCGGCCTAGTCTGTCAAGCTGGGCTGCCCGCAACACATATGTACACGCGGCCTAGGGACTACGGACTACCAAGTACCTAGCAGGTAGGCACGTCGGTCGGTCGAGTCATTCATTTCCCACAAAATCACTGCATCTCCCAACCGCCCAATAGCCCCCGGTGACCCAGGGGACCCAAGCACCCAAAGAGACGCCACGAGTCCAAGACCCGGAGGAACCCCACCAATCGAGCAACCCGAGCGGCGAGTACTGCAAACACTCCAGGCACTCCTCCACGTATTTGAACATTGGCAGCCGACTCAGACCCCTCGACTTGGCATTTGAGGCTGCGGCTACGTGTGGTGTGTGCGCGATCCAAACTTCAAAAGTGGTGGCCACCCCTCAGTGTCCTTCCCCAGCGGCAAGCCAGCCGCCACCTGTTACGGCCTTGAACAAGGCTCGCCTCAGCCCGACTACAACTTCACATACCGACCTTGATCTAATCCGTCGTGGGCAGCAATCTTGTCTCTTCTCTCGCCATATTTGCGTCTGCTGGCCGAACAGTCCGAGACGTTGCAACGATATCCCGCTACCATTGACGCCCCGCCTTTGTTTTCTTCCGCAGAGGCAAATAGGGGAATGCCAGCGAGCACACATCTTGCCTGAGACTCTCGAAACTATCCCACTGGCCAAAACCCACGGCCAGTCCCCTATTATTTCCCCGCCGCTCCACGAGAGCGACAGTGTCCGGAACGGCAGCACCAGCTCATCAGCTCAAGAGCTCCTTTGACGAGGGCAATTCAACACCATGGCTGATCCCTTCGCGCCGCGCTCCATGAAGCGCAAGAATGTCAAGGGTCTTGCCTTGACACCTGCAGCCCCGCGACCCCCGCCAACTGCGGAAAGCTGGTCCGGCGCTGACGGCGGCAGAGATGATAACAAAGACGAGCAGCTTGAGATTGGTATCGAGTACAAGCTGGATCTGAGACCTCAAGATCTGGAGATAATGAAGGAGCTCGGATCCGGAAATGGAGGCACTGTTAGCAAAGTCAAGCACCTTACCACCGGCACGGTAATGGCTCGCAAGGTCAGTTCTATTCCCGAACCCACTCCAACCACGACACGATGCTAACAATGGCGCAGGTTATCCATGTCGAGGCAAAGAAGGAAATGCGCAAGCGAATCGTCCGAGAACTTCAGATTATGCATGGATGCCACTCCGACTACATTGTCAATTTTTACGGCGCATTCCTCAACAGCAATAACGATGTCATCATGTGTATGGAGTACATGGACGTGGGGTGAGCGGCGGAATCGCACAATCCGGTTTCCTAGCAAAAGTTGAATATTGTACTGACAAACATACCCTTCACAGCTCACTAGATCGAGTTTCGAGGGTCTTTGGGCCTGTCCGGGTCGACGTCCTTGGGAAAATTGCCGAAGCCACCCTTGGAGGCTTGACGTACCTCTACTCAAAGCACCACATTATGCACAGAGATATCAAACCGTCCAACATTCTTGTCAACTCTCGAGGGTCTATCAAGTTGTGTGATTTTGGCGTTTCTGGCGAACTGATTAATTCGATTGCCGACACGTTTGTGGGCACTTCAACTTACATGGCCCCAGAGCGAATTCAGGGCGAAAGGTACACGGTCAAATCGGATGTTTGGAGTTTCGGCTTGACTGTCATGGAGCTTGCCATTGGCAAGTTCCCATTTGCATCGAGCGAACAGTTTTCCGACGAGGATTGCGCTCCAGCTGGTATTCTGGATCTGCTGCAACAAATTGTGCACGAGCCGGCACCACGATTGCCCAAGAGTGACGCATTCCCTAGCATTCTGGAAGACATGATTCAAAAGTGCCTCTACAAGCAGCCTGATCAGCGGCCAACACCACAGGAGCTTTATGTAAGTTGACAAAATCTACTCACACATGAAAAATTCTCTTTTGGTTTAACATGTGTACAGGACCACGACCCATTTGTACAGGCTGCAAAAAGAACTCCTGTTGATCTTCGAGAGTGGGCATTTGGACTCATGGAGAGAGACAACCGCAAATCACACCTCGCACCTCAACTATCTCCCGCCACTCAAGATCTTCTTCGGTCTAGCGACTCTCCAACCTACTTTACACAAAACGAAGACCGCACGACACCCACACCTACCTCTGGTGATATCCCCATTGGCGGGGCTGGAATCATTTCACCCCGCGATCAACCTAGTCGTTCACCCAGTAGGAACGGCAACAGCAGGACGCCTGGCTCAGTACCACACCCCGGGATGGGAATGCGAGTGGCAACAACGAATTCAGTGCCCCAAACATCACACTATGCGGAACTGTCGGGCCCTGCGAGTGCGAGCTCGGCAACATTCAGCCTTCCAGTCCGCCCGGGGCCCCCAGGAAACCCAATGCCACCTCCACTGGCACGACGACAGACACCTGATGATTTCCGCAGGGAGACTCGCCGCCAAGCCACGTTTGGATTGCCCCCTAATCCAAGCCCTAGCTACGGATTATAATGGGAGGACCATGGTCTTCTCTGGACGAGAGAGGGAAAACATAGAGCAAGCCATATGGCAAAACTATTATGTGAAATTTTTTCCCCACCATGACAACAATTTGAACGCTGCAAAACTCTGCGAGTCAGCGTAGCATCACTCGGCGCATTGATTTTATGACACCATTATTGACACATGCTTGCTCTCTGGTGGCTAGCGGAAGCGAGGCGATTCAAACAAACCCGTGTATTATCCGTCATGCTTGGGGAAGAAGAGGAAGAAGGAGAAGAAGAGAGAGAGAGAGAATGTTGGCCGTTGCTTGTAGTCCTTTCATGGTGTGTTTTGTGCTCAAGTTTCCGGCGGGACTGGTGTTGGCAACAGTTGTCATCAAGGACAGGATAATACGCACGGAATATGTAAGGCTTTGTGATTTTAGTTTGAGCAGCTCTGGCGTCGGGATAGCAAGAAGCAAGCCCAAAATGGAACCATACTTTATCTGTTCTGAAATGTATACGTAAATCTATACGGCGAAGGGAAGTCTAAATGATGATCAAGTAAAGGTGCCGGCCGTCACTTTTTTTTCTTCTTCCCCGTTTATAAAGCAGCACTTGTGGGCTCATCGGCCAAGCGGCTGTCCTTGTTGTCCATGGCCTCGTCACGCTGCCTGGCGTCTCTTCCCTCGAAGCCATGCTCCAAGATGCCCACCAGGTCATCCAAGCGCTCAATGACGAGGTCGGTGTACTCGTGGGCGGCCAGCCTCTTGTTGACGCCATTCACCAGCAGGACGGTCGCGGCGCCGGCCCTCCTGCCGGCGGCCATGTCGTCAATCGAGTCGCCGACCATGATGAGCCCCCCCGCGCCGTCCAGCCCCCAGCGGCGGGCAATGTGCAGGATGCCCGCCGGGTCGGGCTTGGGCGGCTTGAACTCCCTCGTGACGACGGGGTCGAAGGGCGAGCCCGGGAGGAAGGTGTCGAGCAGGTGCCGCACGGGCACGTCAAAGTTGCGCGTGCAGATGGCCTTGGGCACGGCCCGGTCGTCGAGGTAGGCCATGAGGGCGGCGAGCCCGGGCTGCGGCGCCTGCGAGGCCATGGCCCGCCGCTCGATGGAGCGGACGGG